TTTCTTATCTACCTAAATACATTTTTCTTACAACTAAATATTTATCTATTTCTACATTTATTATATTATTCTTCATTGACCTAAAAGGCATTCTTTAGATATTTCGCTTTCTTCTCTCCTTTTTTTTTATATATCATATATCTGCTTAAACCTATTTTTATACAGAAATATATGCTTCTTTATATGTAAATATTGATTCATTCTTATATATATTTTTTACCTACCTAATTTACTCTTTTATAACTAAGTATTTATCTTTTTTTTTATTTCCAGCTTTCTATTTATTATTATTTTTCTTTGATTTTTTATGCTCTAAAACATTATGTAGTTTTTTATAATACTTTTTATTCTATTTAAGCTAAGTCGATTTTTAACTAAATAAATTGAGCAAGCCCAATAAAGCAGTCCAAATCCACAATCAATGGCGTAGGAACAACCCAAGGTAACCCGCCCATGAAAGAAAAGAAAAGCCTGCTGCACCGGCCTTCCAAGCCTCTTCAAAACGCACCGTTCAACTCGTTTAGGTGCCCTTACTTCCACAAGGAGGCCTTAGCAAAGCTGTGCCGTTTTGGCAGTTACTCATCCAAGGCCATAGCTATAAAAGGAGCCTCTTTCCCCTTCTCTTTCCATTCTTTCCTTTTCATTTTCTCTCTACCGCCGAGGTTCTCACCTCCGCTCTTTCCAAACCTTCTCCCAAAACCTTAGCCACCGCCGACCTTATAAGAAAAACCCTTTGTTCACTAATCGAAACTTAATGATGCTTCTCTTCCTAAAGGAAATACTTTCCCCAGAAGCTTCAAAACTCCCTTCACTCACCATATGTTTTTTAAGTTTTTTGTATTTTTTTATTTTTTTGTGCCGGTTGATAGATCTAGACATTTTTTCTCGTGTTTTCGTTGAGATCCGGCCTCCCCTTTTGTATTGAAAAATTTTTCTTGTTTTATGTGCAAGGGATATGTAAATCCCTCTGCCAGCCGTTGGCCGATTTCCAGGTCTAGAATGTTCTTTAGTTGATTTGGTTTTAATTCTTGATTATTAAATTTGAACCTGATTAATTTGATTGATCTATTTTGAATCACCTGAGACTTTGATCCTTATTGGCCAACCTTTCCGTTCCTTCTTCGTCGGAGTGGAGCAATCCTTTTTGTTCTTTTCTAATAAGCTTGGTTCGTGTTCTGAGCGAACCTCCGCGTGACGTGAACGGTACCTATGAAGGTAATTTGTCTGTAAGGGAGTTGCGTTCCGAGGGGCCAAAAATCTCCACTGCTATTGTCAAGCTTGGACATACTTAACGCTGACCCAAGACTTAATGAAAAAAGAATAAATAAAGATGAAAGATGAAATAATAATAAAAATAAAATAAAATAAATAAGAAAATGAAAACTCAAATAAATATAAATATGGACTACCTATATATGATCAAAATAACAATAATATGAAAATTTAATAATATCTTAGATTACTATAATATGAACACAATTACACTGACAAATAAAATCAACCACATATCACACCAACTCTAATTTAGTTTAACTATTGAAAAACTCAATACTATTGAAAAACCACTGTATATTAACTATTGAAAAACCATGCTGACTACTTGTCACTACCCTATTAACATGTTTGATTCCTCTATTTGGTTGAGAAATAAAGACCACACCTTCATAACTGTTCAACACGAAGAAAAACATAGCATGCAGCCTGAACGCTAACCAGTACTTACATAACTGATCAGAATACTCCTGGTAGCAGTACTGGGTCCTGATCAGGAAAAGCACGAACCTCCTTAAGATTTGCAGAAATGTTCTCCCAAGTGTCATTCTCACTCAGCACATTAATAGCTCCATTATCAGCGATCCCTTTGTAAGTCAATGTCCACATTGGCCATGGTTTTTCCATTATAAGGTCATGAGATTCAATCTTCTGATTGTTTGGATCCATTTGTACCCATAAGTCGTGCAGAGCATATTTCAAGTCAGCCCAAGACTCACAAAAATCAAGGTCGATATATCCTGCAGAAATCACATCGCAAAAATCAGCTGGGTCTTGATTGTAGAGAAGTGGATTTGGAGCACGCCTCGGTCCATTTTCTTCTCTGACCACCCATATTAGATTACCCACTTTAGGCAGGGGATCAGGTTCTTCTTCATCTGGGTCCCCACTGTCTTCTTCTTCTTCTTCATCTTCCACACCTTCTTCTTCTTCTTCCCGTTGCTGGCCAACATTCTGGTCTTCATTCCCGGCCTCTTCGGCAATGTTAATATTGTTAAGATCATTTAAAATGTCAGCATCTTCTTCTTGCCAATTAAGAACGGGATTGACAGCTTCTCTAACAAAAGCTGTGAGTTGGAAGAGAAATATAATTAAACTTAGCAGACCCAATAACACGTCAAAAAAGAAAAAGAAAATGAAAAACAGTAATTACTAATCCTTCCAATAGAGTTGAAATACTAATATTCATGGCATAGTGTTACCCTCACGATGATAGTTATCAAAATGGAAAAAGAAAAGATAAAATAAAAGAATCCTACATGTCCAGTATTTATTGTTAATTTCTTCAGTCATTTCGAATGTAGAAAGAGTATTTCTAAGTTTGTTTGGTTATTTTCAAGAACGTAGAAATGTATGGAGAAAGCTTTTCTTTTGTTGTTAAGTTTTTGACAGAAATAATCTTTATATAGAAAAGGATCAAATGCATGAGTTTGTTCTGGAAGGGCAAGAAAAGTGTGAAGATTTTATTCTTTGGATAATTTTAGTTACTGCTCTTTACTTTTTGAACAGAATATTTCAGTCCTCTTTCATCAAATGTTCAAGCAAATGCTTATGTCTGGTCAAAATGGAAGTGTTACCATCTTTGCTTCTTTGTATGCAGAGTAAGGCTTGCATTGTGAGTTATAGATTGGTTGAATCTGTAACTACTATGTTCAAGTGACTTGTTAGTAGTTTCAGGGCACCAGTTATTAGTTTAATTTTAATGGCTTAATTGCATCAAGATTTTATTAAAAATTTAAATATTGAATTTCATCTTTTATTAAGGATCAAGTGTGATTATTGACTTTGATTACCATTGAATCATGCATTCCTCTAAAATAAGCTGAATGTGATTTGTGAGTTATGCTAATATAGTTTTATTGATCAAATGATTTTTATTTCCATTATAAGATTGTAAGAAAATAAAGGTGAAAGTTTGAATTTGGTTCTCACTATCTCAATATTGCTGCTATAATTTCTTGATAATTGATAATTAAATTCAATTGCGTGGGTTATTTATTTATTTATTTACTTGTTCATTTGATGATTTAATACATATTAGTAAAAGAAAACTTTGTTTCCAATAAAAATACTTTAAATAATTTTTTTATATTTTTAAAAATAATAATTATTGAATAATTAAAAATAAAACATGATGTGTTTTAAGTAGTAAAAAAATTAATCCATTTTAACTTGCCAAATATCACATCATTCAAGTTAAAGCATGATTTTAATTACGTTTATCAATTGCTCTTAAAGTTTTTTCTAATAAATAATTCACAATTAGAATAAAAAACACTTTTTTGCGTTTCACATGCTTTTGAAAAAAAACTACCCAGTTCTTTCCAGGCAACTTTGTTTTTCTTTTCTTTCAAAATGCAATTTATATTTTCTTCTGAAATCACCATTTTTTTATCTTTCCTTAAGTTTTTTTTCTGAGAAGACCATTTTATTTTTATAAATCACCATTTTTTTACCCATGTAGTGAGTGTTCAAAATATGTAATAATTGGAATTTTCTTTCTTATGTATACACTAATAACTTTTAGAAATTAGTGCCTGGGCTTAGTTCTATCAGACAAGCGCCTTTTGTACACTGTGTCTGGGGTGATATAAGGGTCATCTGCACTTCATGCCACAAGCTGCACAAAGAAACAACTTAAGGAAAACAAGAAATCAACAAACCTAGATAGTTGGCAAAGTTATCTATTTGGGAAAAATCTAGTTTACAAATTGGGAAAAATAATTATAATAATCTCTATAGATATATATCTGTATCTTACTTTTGGATCCTTTTTAGCTGACAAGTATAATAGTTGGAGAATGTGTGTCAAATACTTGGACACATCAATATGCTAGACATTCATACCCAAGTTTGGGTGACTTCTTTTGATCAGAAGCTTGCAATGCGTCTTTATCCATAGACGTAGACTTACCTATTCGGGAACTAGACCCTTTTTTGGAGTAGGTAGTCGGTTTTGATGCTTTAACCCTTTTTTTTTTCCATGTCTACATTCACAAGATTAAGCAGGTTGGCTGGTGCCTTAAGACAACCAAGTACTCAGTAGAACATCTGGAGTCATGGAAGCTGATTAATGTTGTTTATGTTGATAGTATGCATAGACTTCTTAATGACGTGTGCTACTTTATGTAGATGTAAATAAATGATGTTTTTATGTTTTACAGGATTATTTGGGAAACAAGCGTTTTGAGTTGTCAGGCCAATTAATTTCTCTGCTTTTTGAGGTTTGTTCAAGATTTCACAAGTACCTCAAAAATATTTGTACATTCTCAGTAAATGGGTCTCAATAATTCTGTCTCCTTTGTGGACTTTTTGTTGTAGGACTTGTTCAAGACTATGATTGGTGAGGTTAAGAAACGGATGGACATTATCCTATCTAAGCCTGCAAGATCTAGCATATTGGATCCTTCTCTTGTAAGTGCTGGATTTCTCTTCACATGCAACTGTTTTTCTGAATGCTTCAGGAATTTAATCAGGCTTATGTATGTATGTTAACATAAATACATACAATTGATCCTCTAATAAGCGATATTCAGCAGTTTCATGCTTGTTGGGTTTTTGAGTGACAAACTTTATCTAATGTTAGCAATTAAATAGTTCCTATAGTTGGTAATTATAATTTAAATATATATAATTTACTAGATTAGATTTGTTCAGAATTAAATAGTTCCTATAGTTGGTAATTATAACTTAAAACATATATATATATATATATATAATTTACTAGATTAGATTATGTATACAATAGTTTATATGTCACTTAGGACTCAATATTATTTGTAGTTTAACAATAAGTAGCTAGGTATTAGGTCTCGACAGGAAGAGCCAAGGTTAGACAGATAACATAGTGTCATCTCTTATGAAATAAGAGAAAGTCTGAGTAAGTTTATGTTGGGAATTTATTTAATTTTTTCTCGGTGGTGAATATATACATTGTGATTTTTGTTGTTGTTGATAATTATGATATATCATTGATGAAAAATAACAAATTATAATAAGAGTTATACAATGATAAAAGGGAACCTTATGACTTTCTTTGTGACTATAAGAGCAATACGTGAAAAGAAAAACAATGGTTCTTGTTTCATTTTCTTTTATGTCCTTTTAAAGGTGATTGACTTTTCTATCTAATTTTATCTTTTCTCTTCCTTGCTATCAATTTTGTTCCTTTATCTTTTATAACCCCTAAAATTATTTATAGTATCTAGTCAAATAAAGAAAAGTGTAATTTGAACATAAATGGAGATTAATAGGTATGGGTTTTGCCAAGAGATTTTAAAAAAAGTTGAATTGTTTATACATTAACCATGACTGTTAAATCAAAGAGGTCTCCCATGAACAAGGAAATCAAAATGGAACTTGTTTCAGTATTGTTGGAAAGTGTCTTGTATCAAACTTCTTTATACAAAGAAACAAGTTACTATACTTGTGCCATTCAAGAAATAATTTTAATTTACTAGTGCTGTAAATATGATTTGTTCCCATGATGTTAAAGATGTTTTTAGGGTTTGGTGAAGCTTGCTCACAAAAAATATTAATTGTCTTTAGCCCAATACATGTAATTTAAATTAGATCCTCAAGCTCAGTGATTCAACTGAACAACCATGACCTATATAAAACAGCTCACTGCAATTTCTCCTGTCGCCTAACATTTCTCTATATCTTCAAAATAGGGACTTTATTGCAAACAAGAGCAACAAAACATACACTAAAATGCATACTTCTTGTTGCCCATCACTTTTGCATCTGGTGCTGGGTGAGAAACCACAAGTTTTCACAGCTCCTTTCCTAGGATCTGCTTTGAACAACTGTGACCTATATTAAACAGCTCACAGCAATTTCTCCTTCCTGTGTCCTAACATTTCTGTATATCTTTAAAATAGGGACCTTATTGCAAACAAGTGACAAAACACACACTAAGTTTCCTTCTTGTTCCCATCACTTTGACATCTGGTGCTGGGTGAGAAACTATAATTTTTCACAGCCCCCTTCCTAGGATCTGCTTCTGTTTGTTACAAAATGTGTTCGAAACTTGCATTGGTTGAATACAGTTATGAAATCAATGGACTTTGCTTTATTGGTAATTTGCTTATTGAATGTTTGTTTTCAATAAGCTGCTGGACTTTATATAGTTAATGGATTTAGCTTTTATCTTTGGTAATTCGTTATATTATTCTATTTTTTTCCCCTTTTCTAGTCATCTTTTTATGGATATATCTTTTATCATGGGTAATTCATTACGTTACACTTTGTAAGTTTCATTTATTTGATGTGGAAGTTTTAATTATCTTATCTTCTTCAATTATTGGAAGTTACATTGTAAATGAAGAAGATCTATTGTATATGAAAAAGTTTAGCTTTTCTCAGTTTGTTTATTTTTTTGTTTGTATACCTTTTATTTGCTATTCATATGCACGTACATCATACATGTAGGCTAGGATGTGAATTACTTGTAATTTCCATACATGGTTATTCCCACAGGAAAAGTTTGCGGCCTAGTACTGCACTGCATTGCTTTTTCTTTTTCATGTATGTAAATTTCTACTGGTGCAGTAACTGGAACCTTGTGATCAAGTGGGGTCTTACTGACTTTGACTTTTTGTAATATTTATTGGTTGGTTGGACCTACACTTGAAATAGATATAACTCTGTAGTGAATAGAGACAAGATGATTTCAACTTATCTTATGGAATACTGTTCCTTGGCTTTGATCTAGGAGGTTGTGTTGTGCTTGATTTTCATTGTTTATGCCATTTTGTTGATAAAGTTTCTTACCATACCATGCTACTGTTTCGCTCCTCTTCCAAAAGAGCCTGCCCCAAGCATGAGGGAATGATATGTGATAGCTTTAAGTTTAGTCGTAGGATTTGAGAAAGCTAGGGTTCTGGACGCAATCCATCACTTTCTTTATATAGTGTTCTTATCCTTGTCAACTTGAAGTAAAAGGAAAGCAGTTGTATATGTGTCACATTAGAAAGGCCATTGCATTTTTCCCCCATCATTTCATATGTTGGCATCTCTACTGGCTTTTTGCAACTGATGTCATGCTCCCTAGTCATCTATAAAATCTATTAGAGCAAGTCATCATGAACATGAAGCTTTGCTAGTTGTTTTATGCATTTGTTTTCCCATGTAATGGTCCAAAGTCTTTCATTTGTCCAGTTCAAGTGGGCCTTTTGTAAATCTGTTTGATTAGGTTGTCATAAACATAAGAAACTTCCATCAATTGAAGCATTCAGCTCTCACTTTGCTAATGAAAGACATAAGGAAGTTCTTTCAAACGGAAGGGAGTCCTGCCTTTATATTAAAAGCTAAACGAGGTTTTAACCAAGAAAGACATGGGAGTTGATAGCTAATTTTTTTGTGTATGATATCTGAAGATTTTTGTAGGAAAATGAAATTGCTTATTAGATTATATAGTCAAATGGAAATATTTTTTTTTCAAAAAGTGGAATTTATTAGTCATTAACTGATACACCATTGATGGTCTCGAACTGGAGCTGCCAGAGACTCTCATTGGTATGAAATGAAAACCGGCATGGCAAGAAAAGCCGGGATGAAAAGCTTCTCCACTGCTTACGTAAACCAGCAGCATGCCCTCATCAATCAGTAACCTCGCAAAATAAACTCGATCCTGCCTAAGATAAAAAACAACAGCAGGAAACAAGGAGGTTATACAACAAAGACAATTCTTAAAAATCAACCTCAAATAGTGACAGCATTACCCTAAGACCAAAAGACAAAAATGATCCAAAAACAGAATAGAGACTTCAAGATCCCTTGAAGCCCATCAAAGCCAAGATCCAATCAGAGTTATAAAAGTTGACAGCGCGTTGATAAATCTGAGCAAAGAAGGATGAACATAATCTACTTGAGATGCACCACAGGCAAAGGAACCAAGACATGGCTACGTCTCCCTAGAGAACATGACCTGCAGCCGGGCACAAAAAGGAAGGTCAGCAACTCTCACACGATCAGCATGCCTCAAATGCAGAAGAAAGCTGCTTCACCTTAAAGAGGAAGCAGCATCAAGTACACAACTCAAGCAAAGAAATCCTCTATAAAGCTGAAGCAAGGAGAATCAAAGCACCATCCAAAAGGAGCACATCAGCTCCCAGAGAAAAATCCGCAAAAAACCAGCAAAAGAACCACCTAAAGAGACAAGGTCCCCCATCGTGAAAAAGGAATATCCCCCCTCCCCGAAAATCCCCCATCCTAAAGCATCCATGTTGATACCCTTAAACCATTGATATATAACCTTTATTCCAATTGAAATTTATTTTAATCCAGATTTTTGTTTTTGATTGGATCTATTTATTTAGTCTTATATTTCATATTAAGCTTCTTAACTCTTCTATATTGATTTCTTCTTTTTGTTGGTAATTTATAGATTTTAAGACTTGTGAATATTATTACTGTTGGGCTAGAAAGGACCTTTGCTACAGGCAATTTTGACATTAAGCGGTTCAAAATGCACAGGAAAGGCATGACACAGGTTTACTTTGCATCTTCTCTGTCTATGTTTCACTATGCTTTTGTATGTAGTCTTTCAGTTTTCTTTGTGGTATGACTTATGCCGGTGGAAAATCCTTAACTTCCAAGTGCTAGCCAGGCTATCATTTATAGGAACCTTGGCCATATGACAAAAATATCGTCTCAATTTGAGAAATCGAGGAAAGTTAGTGGACCTAGGGCATTCCAACCGAGCCAGGTGAGAGTGATTTCCTAGTATTGCAGTTGATATGCTTTCTGATTTGAATTATTGTTAGGTGGTTACTTAAACCCTTTGAGTTGTACTTTTGATTTTATTATTCCTCTAATATTTTTCTTCAATACTTTGTCCTAGCGGGGAATGCTTTGCCCTAGTGATACTCCAGAAGGTGAAGCTTGTGGACTGGTGAAAAACTTGGCACTAATGACTCATGTCACAACTGATGATGAGGAGGGTCCATTGATTTCTCTGGTACATCTATATTCACCTAAAATTTCTTTTGTTTTAATGTTAAAAGTGCATTTTATTTAGTAATTTTAAGGTGATGGTATTTGAAGGTAGTATGCACGTGTGCACTATATAAGTATATGTATGTCTCAGTGAACTATATGCAATTAAATAGCATATGAAGTTAATTCTTTATCTGTTGAGCTGCATGTGGTTGTAATTGCAATTTATCTGACAAAGATATTAAAACATGCTTTAGTGGTCTATGATATGGATATTTGCAGATAAATGTGCAAATACGAATTAAATCTAATTATCTATGTACAAAATGTCCTTCAATTTTAGGGGTTAGATGGGATAGAAATGATATAATTATGACTTGGTCTTTATAAGGTAACGTTAGATTCTTATGCATATGTGTAAATTGTGTACGTGGGCATGCATGAAGCATTTGCACCTGTATGCCATATACTCAAATACATGTTTGTGTGTCTTGCATATGAATTTGAATTAACCTATTCATTTGATCCCTGTTCTTTGCTACAAATTGTCCAGATATCATGTTAACTAAGCATTAAGAAGTACTAAGTCTTAGAATTTTTTACAAGCAGCCTTGTTACTGTCTATTTAGTTCCATTGTTTTGGTAAGGAGATCTTTTTTAGTGTTTATGTTTGTTGACTTTCCTTTTATAGTACTGATCAGCATTCCTAGAGTTGATTCTTGCTACTGGAATCTAGCATAAACAATTTAACCATAATCAAATTAATACCTTGAGCTTTATTCTGTAATAAATTGAATCT